CTCTCTCTCTCTCTCTCTCTCTCTCTCTCTCTCTCTCTCTCTCTGTATTCGTATGTATGTGTGAGGCAGTGTGAATGTATGTATTTGAATATGTGTATGTGTATGAATAGGTGTATGTGTATGTGTACGTGTGTGCACGTGTGCACGAGTGCCTGTAGAATTTGAACATCATTTAATAGTTATGATAAATCTGAACCACACCCCTACAAATATGCATACCAACCAAATAAATTCTCACCTCTTTGTGGGGACGTCTGACTCTGAATATTCACGTATTGATCGATAATAAAAGTAACAGCCACACAATTACGACAAGCTCGCCAGCCCCGCTTCAAGGTAGTGCACTCTTATTCAGCAAATCGAATCTGCATGATCAGACAACGGACTAAGCGGCGGAATGTCGGATTGGTCAGCTTAGACTTATCAAATAGAAACAAAGGAACAAGCACAGTTTTAGTAAGAGTTTTACGGCACTTGCAAGACAATAGACAATATAGACATAGTCGTATAATTGTCGAAGAATAGATTATAAGTTACAAAAGAGTAACATACACACAAAAGAAGGAGGAGAGATAAGGACCACAGATGTTTAATAGTAGAGAAGGTGCAAACCACACCAGAGCACCCGCCAACCACGCACAAACAAACACACAAAACAAGGATAATCTTTGGTCTTCAAAGGATATCCCCCCCCCCCCCTTCCGGGCTACATAAAAATATGTCCACAAAACGATACAACATTTTTTGTCACCGAGACCGGCCATGTTCTTTATTCGGACGCTTGCAGAGGTTCATAGATTAAATATAGACTGTCTGGGATGTGTCTTAAGACAAATTGCGCATCCAACAAAGCACTGGAGACCACATGGAAAATGAAGAAGAGGCAGACCAACTGACAGTTTAGTTATATAAAGAGTAATATCAGAAATGAGGTAACCACCCAAGGCCTGGATGTGTCAAAAACTGGAGAAAGTGGCCAGGGACAGAAAGCCCTACCTTGAGTACCTGACAGTACAAGGAGTAAGTGAGTGAATGAATGAGTGAGTAATTGAGTGAGTAAGTGAGTTTGAGATTTTTTTTAAACCCACACAATGCTAATAGTGGAAAAAAAAGAAAGAAATATGTTCCTCTTTTCTATCAAACATCTATCGTCCTCATCTCACCTCCTTCTTTTCTTTACATGTTACTCTTCCAGTAACACCTCTAGTCTGCAGCTGCACTTCAATGACTTATCTATAATGTAAGTACAGTAAAATACTACCTAAAGCTTCTTTTTAAAAAGCCTTTCCAAATTAAACCTTCTGAACCTTCCAAAACCTTTTACAACAAAATATGTGAGGCAGCGTGGTGGAATCAGGCTCCCGTCAATTTTTGAGTATGTAGAGTTATCGGTATCATCTTAAAGCTTGTTCACTTGTCTTTATATGGTGGAAAAAGATATCCATTTATCTTGAATACAAGTCGAGATATTTGGGACTGAAAGAGGTGGGGGTCACTTGTTTTCAGAGGTAAAATTAGTGAGAAAATGGCCGTCAAAGATTAGTTATTTTCTTAGCTTAAGAGTCCGTGGTAACTGAAAATTTACATTTTTTGTGCCTTTAATCAACCTTTTAAAAAAAAATCCGCACAGAAATGAGTTCTTTAATGGGCATGAAAGGTGTTGAGCCAAAAAACAAAATTTTGATAAAAATTCACAAACCTGCGGAAAAATACAAGTTTCTTCACTTTGACTATTTTTACGAGAGCCTGATTACACCACACTGCCTCACAAATATTACACATGACAGGGTTGATTTGACAAACTACACAAGCTTTGCCTCAGTCAGGGAAGTGGCCACCATAACATCATAAACAAGTCAACTTTTGACAATCTTTTCAAAACATGTTTGAACTTTCCGAATCTAAAAACGAAAACAAAAAACATCAAACCCAACAGCAACAAGAATAATAAATAAACAACGATTTTTTCACCAACACCTGTTCAAATTGCGAATCATTTAATCACCCCCCC